CGGAAACCAAAAAATCACAGGATAACCTAAAGACAAATACTTTCTGCGTTCCTGACGACGACGATGAGATGGTTGAGATTCTCGACGAGGCCCCGCTCGACTCTGCATCGACTGGATCTTACGTGCCCGACGACGCAGGCATTTCTTCGGACTCTGACCATCACCAATCTGCTGAGAACGCGACTCCTATGACTTCGCCTCTGAAAAAGGATGTTTCTGTAGAATTGGTGGAAAACAAATCCTCTGCGCCCGCCAGTGATCTTCAAAGTCATGTGGTCAGATCGCAGCAAAGTCCGATTGATCTTGACGAAGAGAACAACGAGCACCCTCTTGTAACTCCGCGGATGACCCCACCGTCTGTTGAGGACACTTACGAAGGTACCTATGCCGGTATACCTGATGATATGGGCGGCATCGACTATGCTCCAGATAATGAGGCCGCGCTTACTGGTTACAGTCGAGGGGACTCAGCTAGTGGATCCGATGGTTGGGAGGAAAGTGAAGAGCAAGACGACTCTGAAGTTGATTCGATGTCACATTCATCTCTCGGTGTTGACACCAATGGGTTCGATAGGGAGGCCGATGCTATGGCATCCAATGTTCCTTCGACCTCAGTGATCTGTGAATCACTAGTGGCTGTGGCTGTGAGTAAGGGAGCCCGGTCGCAAGATGCGGACAGATCGCTACCCACCCAAAACGATGCACCTTGCTCGACAGCGGTCACCAGTGGCGAGCATGTTAGTCCCCAGACCGCTGCTCCGAACATGAACAGCTGCAAATTCACGGCGAATGAAGATTCGACCGAGTCGACTCCCCTCAAGTTCGGCTGGTCGTCCATCTCACAGCCTGTCGGAGTCTCCAATTCGGCGTCACGGTCTAGTGGAAGATCGCTCGATCACTCACTCGCCTGTTTCCATCACACTACGTCGTCATCGAGCGCGGACGAATGTTGGCCGAACGTTACCTTTCATCCTATCGATCCTTTAACGCAGCGTGAAAGCAATGACAGTGCCATATCGCAAGATCACCGGACATCGGCTGCTCCTTATACTGATGGACCGTTCATCAACTGTCACACACATACCGCTTTCGATGAATTCGAAATGGGAAATAAAGTCCACTCTACCGTTACTACTAACGCTAGTCAGCCAAGTCGAGAAGAACGCCCCAATGAAGAAAGTGTCGAGTCTCGGGACGACAGCGGCCGCGTAGATCTGCAGTCAAAGCCTCATATAGTATCATCCATGGCCGGTTCAGGAGCCACACGGGACTCCAATACACGCCTTTCTATCGCTGATATTGTTGATACTTCCGAATGGACAGCAACATCTGGCGTTAAGCCGTCGCGGAAGAGGAAGGCTCCTGAGATGGAATCGGACTCAGAAGAGCTTGATCAGGACCTTGCCGGGGACTTCCCTGATGTCACTTCCGTTGACATTTGTGATTTGTTTGACAATCAATTCGTCAGTGGGTCTGCAGAGTCATTCTCTCAAGACGCTCAGCCACAAGTTGCACCCGTTGATCTGGACGCCTCGCTCTCGCATCTTACGGGGATTCACGCTGTTGCCAAAACTCAGAATCCCAATGATGCACCCAAGGCTGCCAAACCTGCTGCTACAGATGAACGACCGTCGAAGAGACAAAGGGTTTCGGGCTCAGGAAGCTTTGGAAGTCATGTCGCCACTGCTCTTCTCGGCGCAATGATTGGTGGCTTGGGTACAGTCGCTCTTTTAGCCTCCCTTCCCACTGACTACTTCGCTTAAGAGGCTTACGGGGGAGTGCAGCCGCCAGCATTTTCTTTGCCTCTCTCCACGTCTCCTTTCATATGTTTGCTTCTTTGATCTCTCCCCTCCTGCCAGACTGAATTTATTTTACCCTGGCATTCCTTTCAACGAAGTCGATCGTTTTGTTTAATTTTGGTCGTTCAACGGCGTTTATTCTACCCTCGGATGGCTTGGCTTTTGGGAACCTTGTTGCTCTACTGATGATTTGTCGAGAATTTGCCGGATCGCTCCCGCTGATGCGGGCGTGCCTCTTTTTTATTTATCCTTAACGAAGAATCTTACAATGAGATATGTTTATGATGTATCTTCCGCACTGGTAGCTTACTGCAGAGGTCCAGACATAATTTGCGCAGCTCCCATGATGACCATACCGCTCAAACAGTCACATTCTAGCTTAGGATTTCATTTCACCCGTGACTCTCAACGCCAGCTGGCATGCATGGTGTCTGGTGTCGAGTCTGAGGGCTTGCAATTACTGAGCATATTGGGTTCCTCCGGTCCTCGGAGCATCTGGCCATGATTCTAATCCATGTATAAGCCCGATAATGGTCTCTCTAAGGACATGGATTGGCTATAACATACAAAACGACGTTATCCAGGATTGGCTGCCTGATATTGAGGGCAAATGTCAGCTGATCGCAATCTGTTCGGCGCTTCCTCTTGTGCTTCGGTTTTGTGCAACATCAACACCATCACCTCACCAACGCCAAGGATAAAGGAACAGACTCTACATTATTACGCATGGTAGGCCCTTTCGCTCAGCCATCAATATGCTGCGGAGATATTATCCAAAGAGCGCAAAAACCAAGAAAAGTGGAACCATTGGTTCACGGGGATCTCCTGCTTCAGCCACATCTTTCATGGGCATCAGTCTTTGGCTGGAGATTTCGAGCAAGGTTCCGATGGCAGTTGGAATGGCACACGAAGCCAAGGTGAGACCCGCTCTAATGCGGGATTTACAACGGATGCTTGCATATTCGCCTAAGCTCCACCACCAATAAGTAATATGACTGTCCTATGCTGATCTTGTATCCATTTCTCCCATCCCCAAGCCATGTCTCGGATCGGCCGGTTAGATTGGGATAACTCTTCGCTGCAAACGCTCTCCAGCCGTCTTCATCTTATTCTATCCGGGATCTTATGGTTCTTGACACTCTGGACTTTTCCCACATGGACGGATGTAACCTCTCTGTACTATGAATACGACATAACAGTTTTATGGGACAATCGGTGAGCGCGCAAGGTCCGTCTGAGTTGGCTTTTACAGGGACCAGGAACCTGCGCCGGGCTAGCGAGCCAATTAGCTACAACAGCACTTCAGCTGCAAAATGCATCTCACATTTGTTGTGAGAAGAGCTTTCTGGGACCATGTTTCATTTCATGCCTTACGACCTCAAGGATATGTGATCACTCGATCTGCAGGTAAAGTGCCATGCATCTGATATGAGGCACAGAAGGTTTTCCTTGGCACAAAAACTCCAAGTCCATACACAGCCTTCTGGCACTGTACAGGTGGTAAAATCGTTAGATTCGCTCTGCAGTTGCCACTGCTCGTATATCAGGCGGATACCTGCATGAGATCACATATTCGCATTAAGAGGTGAGATCTCGGAGATGCAGTGCTGAGAGTGCTCACGAGACCATTATGAGAAATACCCGTCACCTTTCTCGCAAAGTCACTCACTCTACTACTCCGAAGCTCCGGTATCTGGGATGGACTATAATGGAAGTTAAACCAACTAGAACCCTGACATCCCGTTGCAAGCGATTGGGGTAATGGAAGCCAGGTGATAACCAGCTGTTTGACATATCCAACAACATCCTCTAGCATGCCTTCCCATAGGCTGACATGGTTTTATTGGCCTTGCAGTAGCCTGGATCCTATTATGCAGCGCAATGGTGTATGTGCCGCAGAAGCTACACTCTCGCTAAAGTCGCATTTGAGTCGCCACGCTCAATTCCGTTGATCATTGCATCCTCGGTCATAGACACGGAGTGATTGAGCATGCATTAGACTGTTCGCTAGTGGGCTACGAACTAGCGAGACGAATGATATCCAAGCCGTACAGAAATCGATCGTGTCTTTGCTCAAAATGGAGACGTGATTTATGGGCACCGGTAAAAAGGTATCGGCATGCTGACAGGAACACGACACTAACTTGATGTTACTTTTCTCTCATCGGTACATCTTCTGGAACAGCGTTCTGTGTGATCTATATTTGATACACGGGAATGATATCATGCTGGCACGTTGCCCTGCATCTATCCGTGGTTGTCAGCTAGCCCCCTCTTGCTTCGTTGGAGCGGTCAGCAATTCGAAATTCTTTTACTCGTTCCCTGTCATTCGCGACTCGAGTAACACAGCTCTCGGTGGCTGCCATGCTTTCGCCTTTGTTCAATGGTATGGATCTTGCGACCATTCCAATTCCTTATACTTCTCCTAATTTTCGCTTCTTTCCCTCGCTCTGATTGCATGATTCGGCGCTCATTCCCTTCCTACCTGGACCTAGCTTCATGCGGCATGTCATGAGCGAGGCCCGGACCAAGATTATCTGGTCGATTTTTCAATATCCATCTCAAGCACTTGCAACTTGGAGCCGGCTCTATGGACCGCACTCGTCGTCAGGTTTCCATTTCTTCGGAAAGCTGACTTGCCGATGATCTCGAACCCATGTCTACTGGACTGTTGGGCCGCTTGGGCGTCGCTTCGATGGTTCCTAATCCCTGTCAGCGCAGCCGATCTCCTCTGACTCCGCCGCGTCTCCGACATGGACGAAAGCGGTCGATTCGCCACCAGCAAGGATCTGAACAAGATGAATAGACTCGAAACTCTAGTCGCACAGTCCAGTGACCCTATGGTCTTTTGCTTACGGCATACGGAGAAATCGCCGTTTGGACTGGACAGGGAGGGGCCTTGTTCGACCTGCAAGGCCAAGTTTCTTTTTGCTCATCTAATCTAATCATACCACCTGCGCAGTTATAGAAGTTGTATTAAGACGAGACTGATAAGCAACGCATTTCCTCAATTGAACAGGACCGTTCTTTTAGATGCAGCCAACAGATGTCAGCCAGGCTATACGGATCGCTTGTTTCAGGAATGCAATTGCGTCTACAGTTCTGCCCCTAGTCTTTAATCCTACGCCGCAAGCTCCAAAGCATACAATCATTGTCGTACTCCGTAACTGAGATTGACACAGGACAATGTCATATCGCGCTATGTCGGCGCTGAACCTGGACCCGGAGCATACATCTTGCATAGGAGGGCGGACCGTCTTAACCTGCCGGGACTGCGCAGGTAACGCACCAAGGTACGTTCTGCGTGCCCTTCAGAAAAGTATTGCATCAATTCTGATGACTCACAGAGGAGCCGTATGTGCCAGTTGCAATGGACGCGGCTTTGGCATCTTCATCTGTGCGCATTGCAATCCGGCGGCTGCTGCTCTTACTGCCAGGAATGCAGCCTCATCTACTGAAGCATCTACACTGTCCTCGCCTGCATCACTAAGCCGCAGCTCGTCGACTTCGGTGTCGTCGCGGAATGATCTAGCAGCTGCTCGACCGTGGAGGCGCTTTGGAGATGGCGACGGTGGTCCCGGAGGGGGGAGGATTGGAACGAGTGCTAATACGCCCCGGAGTGTATGATCAGTATAAGTTCTCGGGCATGATTTATTCAGGTACAACGGAATGATTTGCACCGGAGCTACAGTTACACCATGCATAGTGACGCTGGGGTAGTGGCGAAGAGGAGTTTTCAAAATAAAAGATAAAGCGTTGATGCAGACCTGAGTCACTTCACGTGGGAAGATTGGAGACATTCCTTGTATATACTCTCTATCAAGCCAGACAAGAGGTTTCCCTTCCTAAAGGGTCTATGGAAGAGCGTATGATATCAACCACTCACCCTCCGAGGCTGGAGTATAAAAGCTTGGAGAAATTGGACTGGAATACTGTGTGATGTACTCGGGCAGGTCTTCCTTAGATAAACCCATGCTGGGATATATTGTACAGATTTGGAAGGTATCTAGATGTGCAGTAGATGGATGATTGATCTATGAGACTATGATCCACATCTGGACGAGCATGGACTAGCTCTTTTATCTGCCCATAATTCCTTGTCAATACACTGCTTCTTCCAAGGTCAGAATTATTGATGTTCAAGTCTCATCATGCCCTGAAAATCAAGCACAACCCGGTATTATTCCCTTAAGAAGTCATCTGCTGCACGTCCTAGCACTTCCTTATGCATCTGAAATCATAGATGTTCAGACTGATCATGGCGAGAAAATATTTTCCTGAGCTAAATTCCTGGTCTCGAGACAGTTCGTACGTAATTGCACGACAAAAATGAACCTCTAAGGAACCGCCAGTTTGGGGTCTGCAGTATGCAAGGCTGCATGCTTGCGTCTGCCTTGTATAAGTGTCTGCTTGTCATCAATCGAATCTTGGTACTGGCGCATATCCTGTAGATCTATCCTTCCATCTACTTGGATAGACTTGGAATTAGTATGCACCATCTTGCATTCAAGCTTCAAGCTCCAGGTAGATTGAGTATCTCACAGATATGCAGATGCCAAAGTGGCAAGTGGTGATCTGGCAAGTGGTAATCTTGATTACATCTTGCTTAGAATGCACTTCAATAGGTGATATTTTGATTCTGCTCGGAACCCTTGGACATTGTCTATCAAAACCACTTCAGAGGCCCATATCCCTTCAACCAAGATGCCTCCTTGTCTGGAGATTTTATATCCTGCAATCAGAGATCTGCTCATTTTTGGCACAGCCATTTACTTTACCGTGCCCAGGTCCTTATCGCCCTACGGGAGACGAGGCATAGGAAGACCAGTTCTCTAGAAGATTTTGGTGCGCTTTACTACATTTTTTTAAATGACCACATGATATGTCTGCCTTTGTCATGGATCGATCGATTGATGCCGGTATGTGTGACGTCTCTCCTGAATCGATAATGCTTAACGGCCGGCAGTGAAACATCCAATGCAATCAATCTACTCCTAGATTCCCTCATTACCCACTACAATATGATGTCAAAGGTCTGCAAGAGTAAAACTTTATAAAAGAATATGGCAAAGGGAATCCGTACAGTGGCGCATGTGTCCAGCTACTGTCTGTTTGATCAAGTATGAAGCTTTCTTCGATGTAACATCTCGCATCTGCTGGCAGGATAGTTACAAGAAATAGGATACTAGACAGATACGCAAGGAATTTGATCATACTGGCAAGTCATTCCTGTACATGAACGTGGATGAGGATACAAATGTAGACAATCCCAAGCCTGCTCTTCATGGTTACTTATGGAATTGGCCGGAATGAAAGATTTATGCGGTTGCATCCAGGCCAACGAGGACAAAAGTGTGGACATGATTCATCAACATCTAACGCTGTAAGCTCGACGATTCAGTTGACGGAATCATCCTTCGACAATGACCTGCATAGTCAAGGTTCGAATTGGTAGAATAGTCGCAAAACATTACCTGGTCCTAACCACGAACGTGAAGAAAGTCATTCAGGATCAATTCCAGTGGCCAAGACGACTCAGCCGTTTCTGGATAATGGTAAATGTCTCCCTTGCTTTAGCTGCAAACTTTATTGCAACTCGAACATGTCGCACAGTATGTTCGGCATATGCACCCTGGCCTTGTTATGAAGGACCGTAGAGCCAATTGATGTCACTGAATGTCGCCAGCAGTTACTGGGAGACGCTGCTTGGGTATGAAGCTACCAAGTGTCCCATGAACATGTAAGAATGACCAGGAGCAAATGGGTGTCAGCTTAGGCTGGGTTTTATTTATTCAAGACATCAGCTTGTCCATTCCGAGGCTTGTAGAGTGAGCATTGCCAATTCATTACTATGCCGCCGACTATCTTGCTACGACAACATGTTGCATCCAGGTCTTTCTTTGATTCTTCGTGAAGTCATCATTATTGAGATTTGAACAAAGAAGCCGCTTGTTTATATTGTATGCAGCATACTGTCATACATTCCTTCTAGCTAGGTGTAACTGTGTAAGCAAGTAAGGGACGCAAAGGAGCAATCTAGGGATACGAAGTTGCCCGCCGGTATGGTAATGGATGGACCATCTACCTATCATAGTAAACTGTAGAGGGGTATAGTAGATCAAATCGTCATATGTACTCCGGAGATTAGTTGTGATCGCGATCTAAAATATCCAGTGTCTTGGTGATCGTAGATCAGGTGGCTGGATACCCAGATCTACCGCCATTCGACTGGGTAGATGCCTTCCGCTATGTCTCGAACCCCTACGAGAGGATCCTCGTCACAAGAGATGATAACCGCGACCTAAAATCCACTGTCAGTGTGGAAATTGAACTGAGAAGATTATATATCCTTGAATGTACAAAGGCAAGTATATACCGTCGCAGCCGGCAATTATTGTTCTGTAGTGGACCCATAAGTCCTTTGGTCCAAAGTATAAAAAGCGGGGAACCCCGTGGGGAATATGCGGCAGTTCTCGGGATATCCGGTGCATCTTCTCTTGCGTCTCGACATGTTGGCGGCCTCTGGTCCACGTCATGCAATCACACTCATGCTGGACGGCGTATGTATAGTACATATTTCGATGAATGATATAAACGTACATAGACGATGCAGCATAACCCACAACGATCCCTGCGCCCCGTCACTGCAAGAGTAAGCTCGTCACATATATTGTCTTTTTTTTTCCACTATGAAGCGTTTGATATAAAACATCTAGCTCTATGGAAGGAAACGACTACAGATTCACAGGGCTCCTGACGAACAATTCCGGGTGCTGCATAACTGCATTTTCGACTTCTTTGATTGCATCGTAGCCATAAAGCCACGGCTGCACCTCTGGACATGTCCTGGTATCATGTAAGCGGCTGATTGCATGCCGGAAAGTACTATACTCACCATCGACTGGGAAACGCGCCCTTAATCTCCTTTCCAAGTTGAGACAAGAAGACTTCGTCTCTCTTTTCCTGCTCCGGGCCATTTGGCATGTGGAAATCGTGTCTCTGAAAGAATGTCAATGCATTGTAGCGGAAGGAAGGAAATTGCAGACTGACCTGCTTGAAAGTCTCCTTGACAATGGCCTCGCCGCGGGATTTTCGAAGGCTCTCGTACAAGCGGAGGATCTGGGGTAGGTGTGATTTGTTCTTCATGTGGCCGAGTAATCGACCCAGGACTGCGCCGTCTTCGAGAGACGAGTTGGCGCCTTGTGCGAGGTATGGGAGCATGGGATGGCAGGCGTCACCGCTGTGTGGGTTAGATGGTGAATATAGAAGACGAGGTGATGCGTACAGGAAGACCAAGTTTGATTTGTCATTTACCCAGCGTTCCATTTCAGCGTCTGTAAGGTAATAGTTCAGTTCCATAAGTTCCATACTGCAACGGTTTTGTTGCGGATATACTCACGGTGCATCAGCTTCCACTTGTCCACGCTGTCGACGTAGCTGAGGAAGCGATTCAGACTGTCATGTTGTCAGCGTAAGCCAAGGCCAAAAGAAGACAACCTACACTGGATCCCAGCCTTCGAAGAGCTTCCGCATTTCTTCCACCGAGCCAGACTGTCTGGAGACTCCCGGTGGCAGATTATCCGGCACAAGCAACACAATGTTGAACATGCGTCCATTGCGGAGCGAGTAGGCGACCGCATGTGCGCCGGGACCAATCCAGAAATGGCACTCTGGGTTTTCAACCCATGCTCTCAGCTCCGGATCGGAGATTTGGTCCGCACTTAGCACAATTCTGTAGGCCAGGTCGCCAGTAGGAAGCGGCGCATCTTTCTTTCCTAGGAAACACTCTCGGCAGCGAGACCAGAGCCCATCGGCGGCAATGATCAGGTCGCCGGTGTACCGGTTGCCAGCTAGGGTTTTGACCGTTGTTGTATCAAAGTCCATCGAGTCGACTCTCTCGTTGAGATGGAATGTGACGCCGAGCTCCTTTGCACGGGCATACAGGGCTTGCTGGAGGTCCACTCTGTGCAGGTCGATGAACGGGGCGCCATACTTTGCGCGGATATTCTTGTGAAAGGAGGGTTCATTGGCGAGGATCTGACCGGTATAGCGATGGACCGTGAGCGCCGTGGGCTCAGCTGCAGCTTGCCAGATGGAGTTGGGAAGTTGCCAGTACTTGAAGAGTCGTGAGGCGTTGGGAGTTATCTGGAGACCTGCGCCAACCTACTTTATTTAGAAAGACAGTGTGACATGGTCTGTACACGACTGACCTCGACGAGTTCCTTTGCTTGCTCGACTACTTCTACTGTATGTCCGGAGAGTGCGCAGGAGACTGCCGCGGCCAGACCACCAAGGCCAGCACCGGCAATGATAATGTGGAGATGAGCTTGTTCAGAAACCTATTTTGATTCAGCTAATTAATCATGCACGAGAATTGGCAATAGCCGCTCACCATTGTGTTGCATTTGATAGATCCCGCTGATGTGGGGAAGAGTGTCAATGTCGAGGATTTGAAGACTTAACATCCGAGAGAAGCACCTTTTATAATACTTTAAAATAGCTCCCATCAAACAGCCACTAGGCGCCTCCATCAGCCATTCAGCTGGTGGTAAATTGCCGGCCATTATTCCGTAAGGTAGTAGATGACCGCGGAGGCTTACAAGATGCTCGGAAATGCCGAGACTCTTATAGCCGGATATCCCAGTCCGCGGATACGGCCAGAACGGAAAAGTTTGTGCATTTACTATCACAGATATCTCTTTCTATTCTTCCTGGCTCTTGATTCCCGGTGTTTTCGACAAGCGTATATCTCATCGAATACATCAAGCGAATAGTCCTTGCGCAGCACCTTCAATCTATCTTGAGCGTACCTCGGCTCGATCTCCTTTACTGCCGTGAGAAAGTCCTGCGTAGCAAGACCCCCAGTAAACTCTTCCATTTTCAAGCGCTCACAATGGCAGACACATCCTCCCACTCATCGAGCCATTTTCCGATGCTCTGGTTAGTCGGTTTCGACCCCATGAGAATCCTCCATCTCTGCATGACACGCCGCTTCTGATCTTCCACCGAGGGCTCCAGCTTCTATTTCAACTTCCGATACACGTCAACCTCGTTCTCTGACTCGTTGGTGAACCGTTTCAGGTACCTGTCGGCGACTGTCTGGAAAATCGCTTGCCAGATAGTCACTAGACCCGCTTATGTGCGTTCATGTTGTCTCTCTTTTAACTTGTAGACCTTCCATCCTAGCTCCAATTGCTCAGGGGTGGGTTGCGTGCAATTCGCTGGCGAAGTATCACTACCAGCCGGAGGGCCTCCAGGGTAGATCGGGTAAGTTGGTTCATCCGGGTAGGTCTCCTTACCGAGGACATATCCAGGAGTCCAAGGCTGCGAGCAAGGCTGGTGATATGACGGTTCCAGTGCCACCAGTCGTCTTCTGAGTTGTCCAAGAAGGGGGTGTGGGTGGTTACTTCGTAGTTGATGTTGGGTGGATTCGATATAACCTCGCTTCTTCCGGCTTAGGCAATTAGGTTTAGAACCAATGAGTTACACAGAGATGATCTCAATGATGATCCCGAGCCAAGTGGATACCAGAGACTGATTTTGTGTGTCAGGGCAAGCCGGTCTCGTAACTGTCGATCCGCAGGAGAACCACAGCTTGGATATCGCTAGTAAGTTGTATGCAGCGATCAAAGTTGGAACGGGTCCTATTCTTCTCAAACAGGTGGCTATCTAGGGGATCTATATACTCCCGAATCCTGAGTTACACGTATACTAAGGACTTGAATACGTTAATTTTCACTAGATTAAGCGTATAAAGATAGCCTACCTAGATGGCCATTTATTTAACCTGGAGGGCATACAAATCACTCCCTCTAATGACTTCAGAGTCTAGTAGTATATTGATCTTTTCAAGATATACAATCCACTCTATGCAAGTATAGTTGTGAACCGGCCATCTTCTACGCCGTTAGTATAGACAGGACACCACAGGCTATAACTATAACGCAGATTTCTCCCACGTAATCTCCTTCCCATTAATTCCCTCCACAGCCGGAATCAACGGCCGCAGCGCCATCCCGTAATCGCCCCCATTCGGCGTCCTCAACAGCGTATGGATATGGAATTTCTTCGGCTCCTCATTGCCCAAAAACACACCAGAGTGGTGGTCAAACTCGACGAGAATAACCGGGCTCTGGATACGATAGTAGAAGGGATCCTCGTCGCCGAACCCGCCAATCCAGCAGAAGTATGTCTCGTTTTCATACTGGCGCACCTGGGCGAGTTTCAGCTGCCGCGCCCGCGCGGGCAGGTAGAGGAGGTACTGCTCCAGGATGCCATAAAGCAGCTTTTTCTGGGATTCGGTGAGGGAGGGGGCGCGGATGCCCTCGTAGGGGACGACGCGGTTGTCGCGGTATGCGCCGCAGAGGTGGCGCTGGTCATCCTTGTTCCAGCGGCCCGGGGGCATAGCGGGATCGTGCATCTGGGTGAAGATGCGGGCCTGAGATTGTAGCTCGGGAGAGAGAGACTGCATGAGCTGCAGGCCGAGCTGCTCCTCGACTTGCATGATGCGGGTGCCCGCGTAGGGCCCGCTGTCGATCTCGTTGGGCTCGGCGCCGGTGAACCAAGGGGAGGCGACGATCTGGGACTTGTACAGGAAGATGTTGAGGCAGAGGTGGTGGCCGTAGAAGGACCAGCCCCAGGGTCTGTCGGGGGAGGGGCGGCCGAAGAGGACGAAGTTGTAGGAGAACTCGTTCATGACGCGGGGGGAGTCGACTAGCTCGCCGAGGAAGTGGTTGATGCGCATGGCTTTGACGGCCTTGTCGTAGCCTTCGGGGGAGAGCGTCGTCTCGAGGATGTGCATGACAGCGTCGCGGATGGAGGGGGTTACTTCGTCGAGTCGTAGGCCCTTGTGGCTAAGGAGGAATTCCGGGTTGGACCATGTGCGCCATTCGGGCGAGTCGACGTGGTAGCTGAGGGACTGGCGCTGGTTGTCGTCAAGGATCGAGAGCAGCGACTCGGTTGCGGTGACAATGTCCGCGATGGGGACGCCTTCGTCTTGTAATGTGAACAGACCAGGGCGCACGTTTCCTGAGACGTCAGCTACAGCCTTACAGCCTCAGATTCAGAAGGATCGGGCGTACCATCAGTTGTAACACCCTTAAAAGGCTCCTGCAGCAAATCCAACCAATGCACATAAAGCGCATGCAGCCACGGCGGATGGCGCAGTGTCTTGAAATCATGTGCGTACTCATGCGCATCCTGGCTGCGCATCACCTGGAAGCGCTTCAGACCGAGATCCGGGAGATACTGGCGATATTCGCCCGTAGGCTTCTGCGCTTGAGCCAGCTGTTCGGACGACATGGTGGTGGACAGGTTTGAACAAACATAACTATCCGAAATCAGCCAGCAGCCAACGACTTTATTTACTAAACATCCTCTGGCCTGATTGTCGGCTTTTCTCCCCGTGTCGCTGTTGCGTCCTTGCGCTGCAACGTATTTCTCCACACCCACTCTCCCCCCACAGTCCACTCCCACAGTGGAGAGCGGCAAACTGCTTTTCCGCCCTGCCAGTAAGCCCAGTCCCTCACCTCCAAAATCCAGACAGTGTCTTATCAGGCCGTCAGTTCACTCCATAAGCAATCCGATTCTTCGAGTGACTTCCCTACCTGGGAAATTATCCCCGCCCTCCATCTCCATCTCCGCATTCCCCCACGCACGCATCTCGCGAGGGGGAATACTTTCCTGGCGTCATCGCCGGATCGCGATAATCTTATTATCGGCATCTGATGGGTGAAAGATCGTTTCGGTGATCTGAGGTTCCGCTGTCGGTCGGTTGGGTGATTCGGTGCGTCTGTGCCTAGGAGATGCGGCAGTTTTGCCCTCGTTTTGTTCCGTGGTGTGTGTCAGGTATGATCTGATATGGATATCGAGTCGATTGTGGAGGGTGACCTGGACAATGCGGACGTTAATGGAGATAGAACTTAGTATTGTGAAGGTTGATGGGGAAAAAATTCTACATGCAGTGCATTCTAATTGCCATCACGTGGGAAAACAGAATAATTCTTCTTGAAATATCATTACAGCCCTGGATCTAGAATAGCCGTTTGACTGTCAGTGCCCAAACAAGGTGCGTTTTCCGCATATGCCCATAATATTAGAATAAGATACAGGAAGAAAGGCCGTAGATCATAAGACGCCAGTCTGCGCCATGCACCAAATCACAGCAAGAACTCCATTATACGCCTGCCGCCGAAACACAAGACGATGCAACAAGAAAATGCAATTAGCTGGCGACAGCCAGTTGAGCGACCAAGTCCGACGCCACGTCGAGGAAAGGATAGGGGCTGGTGATCTCCTTCTCCTTGTTGAAGTACCGTTTGCTGATGGGATGCCAGTCGGTCTCGCCCTCCGCGCGGATCACGTTCTGGTATCCGTCACACTTGAAGTCGACCATGTAGTTGTTTTCCTCCAGCTGGTACAGCTGGATATCCACAAACACCCACACCCCATGCGAGATTCGTCCAGGCATGTGTGACTGCGTTGCGGAGGATGGGCCGGAGTTGGTCGCATTCTCCATCATGGCAAATGGGTTCTTCTCTTCGGCCGAGTGCGACAAGCCGGAGATGTTGAATCGACGGCGAAGCTCTTCCAAGTCACTCTTGCTGCTCTGCACACTAGCTGAGCGACCCGGTGCCGTGACGCCTTGCTTCAATAGACGCGCCCGGATGAACCAGGAGTCCTTCGGGATGTAGTAGTCGGCCGGAAGATCTGGATATTTCCCTTGCAAAGGTCTTTCTCCTGGTCGCCGCTCAACCCCAATGGGTGTTGTGCCTTCTGTAAACTGATTAGTCGAAGACTGTGAGTCAGTAACTTGGAATAGAACGAACCTGTTTCGGAGGGCTGGATCTCCCACACGCCGCCCTGTGCTGCAATGGCTTTATATAGATAGAGCATAGCCTCGTAGGGTTGATTGCGAGACCGAATACCAAACTGCCATTTGCGGGTTTTCTTGGGCTGCTGGGGTGCACTCCGAGCCTCTGGGGGTTCCAGGCGCAGTTTGTTCAAGTCTATGATGCTACGGGAGTGCGGTTTTAAAGCCCTAGCGGTTGCTTCCTGCTCCTCCGGGGAACGTGCGCCGGAAAGATCGTCGTCGAGACTGGTCTGAGCGCGTTCTTCTCGTAATCGGTCCGCGTCACGCGCCCGTTGCTCCCGCTCCCGCTCCCGTTGTTCCATTAGTTGGTCATGCACATAGGGCAAGCTGGTCGGCAGAATGCGAACGTGGCTGATTCGAGAACTTTCAAAATCATCCGATTCAACCTGTTGTGGTACTTGTGAGGGCTGGCGATGTGAATCATAATGAGGGGATCCTTGAGGACGGGGTGCAGCGGGCCGGCCAACTGCAGGTGCAGTCAAAGGAGTTCGATTCGGGGGAGGTGAAGGTGCGACAGGACCACCCATCAGGTTGTCCTCTGTGGGAGCTGCGGCTGTTAGCTCGATACTGCCCTCAGGGGCTGTGCTTGAGTCGTCACTCACAATTGGTCTGCATCATTTCGTTTTCCACGATTATGAAGAAAGCATCCTTGATGGCACTGGGCTCGGAGCTCTTGAGTGCGTCTTCGATATCCTCCCGCGCATATCCCATGCTCCGTTCCAACTTGGAGATGGCGATCTGGTGGATCTTGTGCTGCACCGAGAGGGGTTTTCCCGGGGCAATCTTCTTAGGGTCGATAGCCTTGTTCGGATCCACCCCAGTAGCAATGAATTCTTCCGGAGGGGGTTGAAGATATTTGGGTAGGTCTTGTAGAAACCAAGGGTCCTGGCGGATCTCGGGGATGGTAATTCGGTGAACAGGGTGGACTTGGAGCATCGATCTGATCAGGCGAGCCGCTCCAGACGAGATATAAGGGGGCATGTGGAAGTTGCCCGCGGCAATCTTCTTGAACAGTGCCGGAATATAGTCGTCGTCAAATGGGAGCCGTCCCACCAGCAAAACATAAAGAATCACACCGCAGCTCCATACGTCGACCTCGGGTCCAGCATAGAGCTTTCCGGAGATAACCTCGGGAGCAGCATAGTTAGGACTGCCGCAGCTGGTCTTGAGGAAGTTCCCATCTGTCATGATGTTGCTCAGCCCAAAATCCGCAATCTTGACATTCTTATCCTTGTCAATAAGCAGGTTCTCCGGCTTCAAATCCCGATGCACGATTTTGTGGCGGTGGCAGTATTCAACAGCACAAATGATCTGCTGAAAGAATTTTCGGGCTTCTGCATCGTTGCATCTGCCTCTTTTGACCAAGTAATCGAACAACTCTCGTTCAGCATACTCGAGGACCATGATGATGTCGGTTTTGGTAGCAATGACGGTGTACCTGCAAAGTTGAAAAGAATTAGTTTAATTCTGTCCGTTAACACAGAGAAGACTGAGACGTGAGCATACAGTTTGATAATATGAGGATGCCGTAGCAATTGCAGATATTGAATCTCCCGCTCCACACGACCAACCATGTCTCTGGACAGCAATTTGCGACGAGAGATGATCTTCAGAGCGACCTGACGGCCGCTAGGTTGATGAATCGCCAGCTTCACCTTTCCGAACGAGCCTTCGCCCAGAATCTTAACTGTCTGGTACTGATCGAGCCGCTGCATGTCCCTCATGGTCGCCGGGGACTGCATGGAGGGGTCGGCGGCGATCCCGGTCGGGCGTGTGGGCGGAGGCATTGCCATGGCAGGATAATTCGAGGCGTTGGGGGGAGGACCGGCCCCAATGGGACATTCACGCTGGCGATCGGAGTTGTAGGAAGGGAGAGAGACAGAAAGGTCCTCGTCGTCAAAGGCAGCTGCCATTGCTGGTCGGGAGGACGGACAGGACAACGTGACGTGATGGATTTCTCCGGGCGGTCCCAACGGTCCGTCCTGCTGACTTTCCAGCTTTTTTTGCCCACCCCAGCTAATTTTGCTCCCCTTTTGGTCTGGAACCGACTAAAATCTCGTCTAGAATTATGGAGACGTCAATAAAAGTAATAATAATAGCAACCGAAAGTGATAGTCCCCCACGAGGCCACCGAACCAGGAGTTCAGGGTGAAAGTGGAGCGGAGACAAACCGAGCGGCGGGAGGTTCCTATTATTTTTGAGAGTTCCTCCTGTGTTGACCGGTTAAAGTAGAGGAAGCGAGGGAGGATACCCTCGAATAGTGATGGATATGAGGGATTATGGCGTGGAAAATTCGGTCTGCCAGTTGAAATAGAAGGCAGTCAAGAAGAGAAATAGACTGGAAATGAGGGGAAAGGAAGGACAGAATATGAAGAAGCGTCATAGACTTAAATCATACATCTAAGGACAAATCGTGAGCTGTTCCCGCGGGGGATCTGATCCCTCATATAAAGATCCGGGGAGTACATTAGTACCTAACTCCAAGACATTCAAGAGATCAAACAAATCAATCTGATGCCCTGTTATTCGCTGGGTGTTTTACAGTGACAGCAGCGCGAACTCATATAACAGTTTCTCCTGTCATTTATGCTTAGCCTCCATTCTTGCCTACATTCCCATCATTTCCTGCCTGTCAAGGGAGCCTGGTTAAATGGCAAATCTCCCTGGTCTGTCTGAGCATAATCCCAGATACAAACCGTCACTCGATATATCTGCGTCAACCCAGCCGATCAATCCATGGTTGCCCTATCTTAACCAAGATTCATCCTGGTCGTCATACTAGAGTCTACACAGTGAGAACTACGAAGGCATTCTGATGACTGATTCTCTTGAATGATGGATCCTTGATTCTCCAGTTGCTGAGCCAAGATGGTTGCCCGCGTTTGTGTCTTGAACTGTCTAATCAACTTAAGCAGTTCTGGCGGAATTTTCCGAACCTTACTGGATGACTCGATCCAACAAGGCTAAGGGATCATCGGGCTTATATCGGGTCCGTGCTATATTTCAGATTGGCTGATATATTGAGAACATCCTAATATATCAGTCAGCCTGGATAGTAAGACACAGATGTGGAGGCTGTACCATACTAAAACCCTTGAGATGGGCGGTCTCGACTACACTTAGCACGTTTCAGCCGTGCGGCACAGCACCTTGCAGCACCGGCTTCAAGAGACCATACTAAAGCAGGAAAGGTCCCTGTCTTCACGAACCATGCGGAGATTGCTAGTGAGCTTAGCAAGAGGGCTGTGAGCCTTATGCTGCCCTTTTTGCTGTTGGTTTTTCTGTTTGAACGGGCCAGGTCTGTTTGGCCTGGTCGATGCATCATGTCTTGGCTGGGCTAGTTAGAAGAAGTAGTGTAACATTATAAATGGGGACGGGGATGCTATTGAAGCGAAATTCTTCGGTTCTTACAAGTCATTCTACTTCATCAATCATGGGTGTACTGGTTTTCTTTATCTTTGCTCTCACTGTTCTGAGCGATGTCAGCGCTGCCAGAGTGAGATCACTCTCCAGAGAGACTCAGCCGTTCAACTTCCCCAAGGCAAGACGTCTCTCTGCTGCGGTTTCTCGTTCAAAACTTCAATCCAGAGCAGAGTTTGCATCCAATCTTCTCAGAAGGGAAGCAAGTTTTGACTTCCTCCATGGTGATCAAGATCCCGAATCGGTCTTTGTGGCCACCTTAGACGTCAAGTCGCAGTCACCCATTCTGGCTTTAGAGGAGTTGGATGACTCCGTCCAAGGTGTGACCTGCAAGGAATCGCAAATAGACATATCTTTTGAGTCAATTGAGCAAGTCCGCTCAGTCCATCGAGAACTCGAGCAGATAGATGGGTTCATCCTAGTCACCTCACATATTGGGTGTAATCCTGATGGAGCAAGGTCAACATACCGGTCGGTACCTCGAATATCTACATAAGGGAGCATCATTAATGGTGTATAGAGTCACCAAGGCCGCAATTGACTCGACTCGCAACGTGCTGTCACTAGGGAAATCCGACTGTGGCTGGCAAGACGCATTTCACACAACTCGAGTCTCTTTTTCACGCAGACATCCATCCGAAGTCCGGAGACGTTCGAACACGTTTATGAAGAGACAGCAGCAGTCGCAGCCTGAACCACCGGAAACAACAAAAACAATGGGAGGGTCTGCTCAGACTCCGACGGTCACATTTCCTGCGCCTAGCGCAACGTCGGGGCTCGCCTCAACGTCGAAGAAGGAACTCAATGAGCATTATGTGGACCAAAAGATATTTCCCCCTGACATTCCTGCGGCGGACACGCTTCTGTAAGTGCATTCAACCGCAGTTCATCCGGATCCAAGCCGAGAAGAAAAGCTCATTTTTCAGACCGTCAGGACTCACAGTGACTTGCAAGAATTGCTCCCTGGAAGGCAACGTCATCTTAAACAAAGGCTCTTTCGAGATTTCTGAAGTTGATGGGTTCATGGATGCCGTCAACAACACCATCGCTTTCTTTGACCATGGCAGCATTGAAGTAATTGCAAACGGGCTCTTTGCGCAGGTCGAACTTGAGTTCGATCTTTCTGCGAGTCAGGATCTGGTCTCCGTTACGGCTCAGCTTCCTGCTATTCCCCTCATTCCTTTCGAGGTATGTTCGCTCAGAAGACTGCAAGAGCCGGTCACTGATGTGTAGTAGATTCCCGGAGTCCTCGTTTTTGGCCCGATGATAGTGGCGGAGTTTGACATGAGTTTGAGCCTTGCCCAGAACATTGGCTTCTCATATGGCTTCAACCTCTCCGTTAGTTCCCCTCCACATTCCATCCTTTCTTCCTTACACTGACTTGTGCACAGGTCCCTGCAAATTCCAAAGTGGAGCTGAATATGGACGAGATCTCAAACTCCTCAATCACAGGCTTGTAAGCTAACCTCGCGATTTCACCAATCCTTCAACTAACCGCTGTTTAGTGACAAAACAACCGTCCATGCCTTGCCATTTCAAGCAAAAGCCGCTCTGGTTTCCCTTATAGCCAGTATCGGCTTCAAACCTCAGGTCCTCCTCGGCATCAACACGGCAGTAGGAAGTGTCCAGGGAGGAGTCGGCGCCTTTCTCGAACTACCCAAAGTTTCTGTCAATGTGACACAGCTCAGTAACGTCAACGAGAAGTGCGAAGCCGTCTCAAATGGCGATGGTAAGCTTACATCAATGCTGGACAATATTTTTGGGAACTTTACGAATATTGTTCCCACCGTGGACATCAATCTGGGAGCCCTGGCGAATTTCGAGGTTGACGTCCCCCGCGTCTTCACCGAAACAGCTGCTGTGCAAACCGTATTGGCTTCAACTTCATATCCCCTGCCGACGGCGTGCTTGCAGTTTGACTCGGAGAGCGGCGAATACAGTTCTCCTACTCCGACTCATACTCCTACTCCGGCATCGTCTGCTGTAGGTAAGGTTGCGACAGCTGAGGCGAAGAAAAGCCGGGCTGCTTTTGTGGGGATCAACCGCGGTTTGGTGTTATTAACAGTAATTGCGAGTTTGTGCGTCTCGTAGTGTTGAAAAATTGGAAGAATGTATAGTCTGGGATACTCATTATATGTTGTAGCCTCAACATTAGTATATATTTCTCGGCAGTTTTTGCGACGTTGCCACTAACACTGTTTGGCGAGATCGTAGAGTCAGAGTAGTCATAACGAGCGTCATAGAGATCAGCCCGGTAATATCCCATTACCCTACATATGCATGTGCTTCACACCAGCCCACACTGAACCAGTGATGCTACTCTTTAGATAGGCATCTCGGTCTCAGGTTACTTAGACTACGGAGTATGAGTCACATGAAACTTCGGGAGCTGCATGAGATTTATCGATCAGCCAATCAGATGCTACAAACAAGAAGGTGGGGGAGGCCGTCGGGGTCCCAAAGCGGTTTAGGGGGCGCAACAGGCGGGGACCTAAAAGAGGAAAGGCGGGTGCCTTAAGTTGGTGACTGAGGCTGTGAAGGGTAATAAGGTAGTCAGTTTCCTCGTATCTGGCTCGAGTTGAACACCCTTCCTTCATCTTCAGGCATCTCTTTCTCTTCATCCTTCGTTCTTCGCATCCTCTCCTCCTCCTTAATCAGAGCACACGACTGTTCACCTAGGTTGCACGACCTTCTGCCTTTTGGCGAGCTAAATCCTCGAAAAGTACATTCCTTCACTCTCGCAAGACCGTAAATAGCCGAGATCTCATCTCGAAGACGGACGGCTTCATCTCTAATATTAATCAATCTTTATTGTCATTCAGCATTATCTTTATCATTCAGCGTCATTTTTAGTGCACTCGAAGCAATGTCTGCCAACCAATCGCTGTATCACATGGAGACCCCTGCTCGCGCTGAGCAGTGGGTTGACTTTGACAACTCATTCGAGTTTGCATCAGGGTATCTGGAGAGCAATCCACCCTCGCTGGACTCGATTTTTCCAAAAGACTTGGAGTTGGTCTACAGTGATGCAGACGCGCTGAACTGGGACTCGGAAGCCGCTCAATGGCCTCAGTCAGCCTTCTCCGACCTCGTCGCCTTCGAGGACCCTTTAATAGGGAGTGCAGAAATGCCATTGGACATGGCTGGCTTCCCCGAGAATGTTCCTCCACTACCATCATTTCCCGAAGTGGAGTGCTCTGCGTCGACATTTGATGCGACATGGTCATCATTCGACGCCTCAAATATTGAAGAAACCTTCTACTCACCTTCGACCTACCGACAACTGATCGAATCTCAGGCAGCTGCTGACCCGCGCTGCTTCTCGAAAAAGGAAAAGCGTCTCGAAGCTTCCATTGCTTTGCACCTGCAGCGCTTGCAAGACGCTGCAACGGCTGATTTCAATCTGTCTTCAGAGTCATGCGGCAGCTTTTCCTCTCCATGCTGGCCCGACTCTGCTGCAGGAAGCGCATCTGAGCCGCAGTCTCGTGGAAGCCCGTCCAGCACATCAGCCTCTGAACCCTCCGCCAAGTCATCTACCCCACCCTCTTCAAGACCAAGCCCGGCCAACGGTGGAGTTGAGTTGGTGCTTGATTTGAATATGAACACGACCACCAATCTGCCGAAAAAACAGAAACCACGGTCCCAAGCTCAGAAAGAAAACTACATCAAAGTTCGGAAACATGGGGCCTGCGAGAAACATCGAAAACAACATAAGCGGGTAAGTCCTGCATCGTTGGCCCAGATTATATCATGCTAATGGTCTACAGTGCAATTGCCTCGACAAGTCTGCTTCTCGTGTTCTGAACAACTCTGCCGTGGCAGCGCTAGCCCAATCTACCAAGGTCCGACTGGACGTCAGAAACACCGGCCAGAACGTTATTGTAACCAAGCGCCTCGGCCCCAATACCCTGCCGACTCTACCACCCACAACTTTGGACAGGAGTCGTGCGGTCAAAGCGGTACCTGCATCTGTTCAACCAAGCACTGCGATTTCGCCAACGGTAAAGGCGAATGTACAACGTGTGCAACGTACTGTTCACGATTCCGCTGGACGTGTAAACACCGTGATCTCGCCAACGGCTTCGACGAATTTCCGACCCTCGGAGCGCTCCGCTCACAGTTCGGCTGGACGTGCAAACACGGCCGTTTCGTGGACGCCCGCACCAAATGCCCAAGTCATGGGGCGTATCGTTCAAAATTCTGGTGGACAAGTTATTTCACCGAAATCTCCAGTGAATGTACAACGTTCAGAACGTTCGGCCCAGAATTCTGCCGGACGGCAAAACACCGCGCACACGCATGTACAAGTCTGTCAGTCGCCCAAGTTGGCACGACCTTGGCGTACAGACGGCCACACTTCGGCGGTGTCTGGTCCACTGGTAACCCAGAACGCCCAAACGGCGACTGCTGGATTCCGTGGCCGGCAAGATGGTGCTGTCCATGCTGTTCAATTCACTCCGGGTCTACTCCGCGAGTCTTCTGGTGTACTCCGGCCGTTCAGATACAAAACGACGTCCCAGAACGTTGGAAAGCTGGTCAAGGACCAAAGCACCCAGGCAAACAAGCAGGCAAAGGGCAAAGAAAACTTCTGGTTCGACAGTTGGACGTGGACTCTACCTGGAAGCCGAGCAGAGGTGGTCCAAAATTCCACTGTTGCCGAATATGCTGGTGCGGTTGTTCGCAACACCGCCCTGGCGTTCTTGGCCTTCTGGCAATCATCTACCTCGCTCACTTCGTGGGCAGGAGTACTCCTTGGCCGGTTAGTTCTATCCTCTTCTCGTCAGCATATGCTAGCCAGGAAAGGATTGGGACTGGCTTAAGGTTGCCAGCCCTCGGTATCGTCTGACCTTTAGCGTTTCCGTCCTTGTGCTTGATGCTTGATTGTGGAGTTCTTTAGCGACTGTACCTTGATATCCCGATATACATTAAAAGTTGTATCTGAATAGATTTTTTTGTCATCTCATGGAGACTGTGTCTAAAATATAGATCGCTACGACGAATGTACTTGTTCTTTAACAATCTTTATCTGACATAAGACGCGTCCAGAGCCCCGACTCCGTGAAGCAACTCAGGGAATAGAAGCTAAATAGTTATATAATCGACACTAGTTAATAGTATGGCCTTAACTACAACCATGGTCTCTAGTTCTGGTTATCGTGGCTATTGACCTAGAATTCTAGACTCCGCATGAGCAAAGCATGGTACCGAATGTGGAGGCGGAGATTCGCCATTGTTATGATGCGATGATGTCAAGCGGCTTCTCCTCGCCACGGGAAGTATATAAACAACGACTGCACGCACCTTTTTTGCAATACATACATGCTGTAAATATCGTGCAGATTTATACACATAGGTTGCATATAACATAGCTTGGCATTAAACTGTAAAAAAAGAAGAAAGGAAAGAAAACAAAATGACCGACTCCTACACCAGCTCCTACTACTACAGCTCCTCCACCAACACCACCAACGGCAACACCACCACCGGCCACCGGTACACGACCACCTCGCATACCGATCCCGACGGGAACACGGTGGTCCGCACCGCGCACCAAGACCTCGGCCAGCCGGCCGTCGTCGAGGAGCGCCGCTACGACCGCACCGGGCAGGAGCAGCAGATGCTGGCGTCTGGGTCGGAGACGCTCCCCGGCGGGGTTAGGCGGATAACAGACCTGGACGAGGAGACGGGGGCGACGACCTACGACGCGGGGACGCAGTATGGGATTCCGACGGGAGGGACCGAGAATGAGCGCGATGAGAGGAGCCGCGGCGATGAGTGGTGGAGTTCGTCGGTGGGGAGATCGTCGTACGATATCGGGACCCCTTTACCTGGTGCTAGGACTTACAATGCGTACACAGGGGCGTATGAGGAGCAGCGTGCCGATTACGATGCCGATGGGGTGCCGCGATACCGGTACCGAGGCCGGGGACGTGGGCAGAGTGGGTATTCGGCTGAGCAGAAGGCTAGTCGGGAGTTTGAGACGGATCAGGGGACGAGGTTGAAGAGAGAGACGGATGTGAAAATGTCGGATTTGTTGTAGTTGTCATATATGTTGAATAGATGTACAGAATGGACGTCGTGCAAGTCGTGAGCAAAGTCGTCGTAACTCGTAGCAATGTATCTGTTGATAGAGGCTATACCCTGATTCTTCCCTCGGTCCATCTCGCTCGTGCTCTCTCAAACGCCCACGGCAGCTGAAACACCCAGTGGCAAAGCATGCCCGCCACGAAGCCGATGGCATCATTCTTAAATCCCACTAACAAACCCACGGTAACCATCATGACGGTCCACCGCCTCTTCCGCTCGATATCACTGAGCATGGGCCCGATTTCATGCTCGCTATCGCCTATTAGTCCTTGCCCAAACCCGGCGATATCCCTGGCGCCAGTGGTGTTGAGACTTTCGCCGACGCTAACCAGCTCCAGACCGGCAGCGATGACCATCACACCGAGCAGCGCGGAAGGAAACCGCTTCAGCAGCCCGACCAGAGTCTCCCCAAAGAAAACGCCAATCACCAGTTTCAACAGCCCTAGGAAGATGACACTCGAGCCAGAACGGGCCCCAAATCGGTACTGCGCCGCTAACCCACCAGAGCCATGGCAGACCGGCATCGCCCCGAACCAGCACCCAACGAGATTCATCCCAGCCACACTCAACCCGATGGCCGTGATGGACGGCGTCTTCACCTGTGGCAACAGATCGCCCGCCAGATGCACGACCGCCACAATCGAGTTGAGCGTGGTCAGCGGGATCTGCCCGACCCCCGCATCCAGCGCGCCAATTTTCCACTCCGACATCCCGGGAATCACCACGAACGGACGCCAGATCTCCAGCGACGGCAGATTCGCCGCCAAAGCCGACTGCACAAGCGCAAACGCCAATCCCAGGGTGAACACGATCAGCGCATACGGCACATTGCGATAGACGTTTGTGAATAGCAGAAAGACAAACGCTGCGATGGCCCACAGACGATTATCCGCCCACGAAGGCTGGAACCACCCCAGCGGTGCGAGAGTCTTCCCCGCCGCGGCGATGACCAAGGACAACCCCGCGCCGACCTGGATCCCCTTGATGACCGGGATGGGGATCACATTGGCAAACCAGTGAAGGAGACCGGTCACACTGAAGAACAGGATGCATGCACCTACAAAAACCCCGGCAGCAGCGATGGTGCCGTTGCTGAAGGATCGGGCAATGGCTACCGCAGCAATAGCCTTCATAGGCTGCACGGGCAGTGGGATCCCAAAGAACATACCGGTCAGGATGTTAAAGATGCCGGAGAATATTAGCGTACTGGACAGCGAGACGGTCCCATTGACAGCCAGGGCGATGGCGATGGGAAGAAAGGTTCCCAGATCGCCAAGCGAACCGGAGATCTCGGAAACATAGTGATTTCGGAAGGTTCGCAGGTTGTGCGAGGATATCTCGCGAAAAGTTTCAATCCTCATAGTGAATCATCCACTTGAACTGATCAAGCGATGTTTGTCGAGAGATGTCGAGAAAGAAAATATGGGGGACTATTTGATAAGTGGAGGAACCATGGACAAAAGTGAAGAAAACAAGGATGACGCGGAGTCATGTGGCCCCCACGTTGACTGAACCTTCTCCAAGATTCAAAGCAAGATAAGCTAGGCGATCCACGATCAGGAGATCCAGGCATCTTGTAATGATGATGCGATTGTTATGGCATACTTGGAAGCCATTTTCTCAGCGCAGATACATGATTTGTTGCTAGTTCCTCAGGTCAGGGCCAATCTAATGCGGGGTATCAATGAGGCATGGATAACCTCCGAGTCACGCATTAGTACTATCAGATGGGTCCCACAGACTGATAAGATCGTTTCTCAAGCTACACTACGGAGTAGTTGGTCGAACAATATAGGTTTGGCATTTCGACTGTCAGAGTTATCTTGAGTAATGAGAGTCAAAAACTAGAAACACAACGAGGTAAGGACTGGACGGCCACTAGGTAGCCAGATTGTTGAATGTGTATTCAAGTTAATAGTCATCACCACGACTGATGACTTCCTTCCCACCGCTGTGGAGGAGAATCGTATGCTCGAACTGGGCCGTGTAGGATCCCTTCACGTCAACAAGCGGCGAATAGCATTCAACGATGCCGTTGTCGACCAGATTCTTCATCTGTGCAGTAAAGTCAATAACGTATACACAACGTTCTCTCAGTAGCTTACCCCAAGAAGATAGTTCTTCACCCCAAGACGCTCGAGATACCGGCGAGAAAAGACGATGCTGCCAAAATTGGCGTCGATGGTTTTGAGGAGAGACTTGGCCGAGGAAAGACGCAGATTGGCACCAGACATGTTCTCGTTTCTCCCGTAGCCGTAGACTCCAACCTACAGCAGCATTAATAAGATAGGTGTACTGAAGGGGAAAAGTTCTCTTGTGCCCTACATCATCGTCGAGGAATCCTCTGCCAGTACTTCCAAAAGTTTCAATGGCATATACTTCTCCCTCTTCCATCTTGTCCTGGTTATTGTTCTTGATAAAGGGGATCTGCTTCCCGCCGTGTATATGGTACCGGAGAATATCGTGGCCAGTGATGTTCCGGATAGCCTTGACCGGGAAGACTTTTCCGTCAATTTCGACTTCGTAGCTCTCCATCACCTCCTGGATAGCGGCGCCAATATCACTCATCCTTGCATCAACACCAGCATGCTACCTGTGCATCAGCATCACAGCATTCAGCTCAAAGATTTTGCGTGAACAGACATACCTTGATACCAGTATTTGTTGCCTCCCTCACTGCAGTAAGAAGATTATCGTACTTGTCGTCAAAAGCGACGGTAAATGCCGAATCAACAATGCGACCATTCACATGCACACCAAAGTCTACCTTGAGGACATCGCCCTTGTCCAGGACAACGTCTTTCTCACGTGGGTTTGGGGTCCAATGAGCGGCAATGTGATTCAAGCATAAGCCGGTGGGGAAGCCCATGCCGGCTTTGAAGAAGTCTCCAGGTTCAAGTCCCTGGTGGCCGGAAAGCGCACGAACACCATCTTCGATACCCTCGGCAATCGATAAGAGAGTTGCTCCCGGCTTGATAAGCTCTTTCTGCGCATATTGGCGGACCTGGCGGTGGATTTCGGCAGCCTGGCGGTAATCGGGGAGGAAGTCGTCGTCCCAGAGACGCGAGTTGTAGCGCGACTCTTCATCGGTCGTGCGCGACGTACAGTCATACGGCACGAGTTCTCCTACTGGATACTCTGAAGGGAACAGAGTCGAGACCAGCACACGCGGTGGGCTAGTTTGCTTGAGCTCAGTCGCCGAAAGGGTTCCCGATTTGGTCTTCTTCTTCTTCTTGCTGGACTTCTTGCGTTTCTTCTTCTTTTCTGTTATGGATACACCGTCAGTGGGGGGTTCACCTGACCGAGATCAGGGAAGTGGTTGATTGAGCTTACCAACATTGGGCGTCTCGGTCATCACCCCATTTTCTTCGGCATCCTCGTCGTCATCATCATCACCAATGACTCCGCGATCCAAATCGGCTGATCCCGAGCCATTTCGAGAGGTCTGAGGGTCGTGATTGGCTGGCTTGAGCTCATTGGAGCTGGAGGCTATCCGGGAAGGATAAATTAGAGTTGCTGACGGTTGTTGTTTGTGGGAGGGTAAAAGTCATACCATGAGGAGCCTGCCAATGTCCTTCAGGGGTCTTTGATCCCATGCTGTGGTTCCGAATCGCAGTGCTGACATGAACTGATGGCGACCTAACTCGACAATGTTGTCAGTTGTCAGAAAGAGCAGAAAGCGGGGATAAAATGTGGCTGATGGTTGCCTGACAATCCGTTGCCTAAAATGGTAAGGTTTGTGTGTTTTTGCTCTCGGATACAGATGGAGACATTTTATGCCGAGTACCTCCCTACATCTACGCTTCAAAGATTATTTACTCTGCAGCTAGCCTGCCACCACCACAATCATCTGCCTATTCTGTCACTACTGTCGACCTAGGAGATTTCATCTGTGGAGACTCTACAACGGCCTGTGCCTGCTCATTCTGGGTCAACCACTTGCCAGTCCTCACAGGTCCGAGTACCCTCTAGTCATACACCCTCGTGGTAGACGCTATGACGGACAGTAAATTGAGTATCGATGCAAGAGATTTGTCAGGATCCCTGGCCATCCCATCATCCTCGCAATTATTACTACTCTCTATGGGCTCTTCGATGAACGGCTAAGGTGCCAAATGTTTGCTTCCTCATCCCCACTCTTTTGCAGGCCCTTTGTTTCTGTCCTCTCCAAACAACGTCCTCTGTCAGACACGAGAAAAAAGAAAAAGGAAAAAGCAAAGAAAAAAAGCAAGGACAATATAGTCTGCGAAGCTGTTTCAAGGCATCTTGAGCCCGATTCATACGACAATCAACCCAGCAAATTATGAGGAATCGCCCCGGCCGAGATTTTAGACGTCTCGTCTCCCCCATTGCTGAAGCGCTTCGATGGACAGTTCGTCCGGACATCGCCGGATCATCCAGCTTGGATTGACCTGTCACTTTTCATTGGCCGTGCAATTTACTACTGCCAGCTGACAGGAGGAAAATAGTAATGTGGGGAACCAGCTCGACTCAGGTAGCCACAGTCTGCACGCAACAATCTGGCAGGGATCGCTGTGACTTACGAGAACCACGATGGACCAATAGCGTCAGCCTTCACAAGTACTTTCACTCGCCGGCCTCGCTCACTCTATGAATAATGGAGCGATCTGGCTCACGCTAATCCTGACATTCACAGCAGTTTGCATGAAGAGAGCAAGCCCCGATGGCACGGTCGTTCAGTCCACCAATGTGCAATAAACAACACTGGTAACTGCTGCAATTCAGACCTCGAGGAAGAACCTACCCGCTGCGGATGAAGCTCGCATAGAGCTACTTCTTTCCCCCGCCTTTACCGCATACTGATGCATCGAGGGGACAAATGAGGGTATGCTTGTGCTTCCTTTTCCCAGGTAGCAGACATGTCAATTTTTAAAATCAGTCGAGTCGCTCCTGAGGGTGGTCTCCGAGAAACGCCATCCGCTCAATCACAGA